GCTAAAATATTGACTCTATCGATAGAATCTTGTTGAACACGTTGACCAATAGAAGATTCGTCACAGGAAAGAAATAATTTTGGTACACGATTATTACGTCATTGGATCAAGCGAACATCGGCGTCGAAATTCTTGGCCATATTCATGAATCCACTTATTCGCTATCCATTTATTACCAATCAAGACCGGACAAGCTGGAAGAATAGAAGAAAAGCTTACATATTTCGACAGTGATTAACAAAACAATACTGACCTGCATGTAGTGTTCTGTAGTCGGCTAAAAAAGAGATATCAGCTAATCAATATAATGCAATCAAGTTCAATCATATCGCACCTTCACCGGACGCATGGAGATTGTACCAAAATAATGTGCTTCCTTTCTTTGGCGTGATATAACCTCCGAAAAGAGGAAAGACAGTTGCTCCGCCCCACTCCACGTCACTCATCTAAGAAATAAGACTATATCATGCATCGCGTCCTGTCATATGCAACTTACATAAGTCATCCACGTAGCTATTCTATTACCTGAATAACAGCAGAATCTTGATAAATCTTCTAGATCAATGATATACTTACCAACCTTGTGGAAGTAAGCAGAATTTCCCAATTTCTAAATGCATTACATTGACAATGATCGATTTAGCAAAAGCTTGAAAAATAAAAGCATACATGGTAAAAATCCACGTGAGGACTGTAGTGGCCACCGATACCATAGTTGGCGATCTAGTATTCATTTTATACATTATAATATAACAGAAAATAAAATAAATGCCTGAATTTCTTCAGCCGTTTCCATGGTCAAATTTGTGAGAGCGCTAATCAGTTGAGGGAGACGAGCTATTACTGGCGAATCTTCATCACGTAGCCAAGCACTAAAATAGAAATAATACTGCTCAATAAATGTCGACCATCCAGAGAGCATGTACATACATATACGTGTAGACCTATTTTCTAGACAACTAGACAAAATCATATAGTTAACACAATTGCTATATTCCAACGAAATATTTAACACACTTGCATACATACTAAACTTGCACACGCAAGTAATGGTGCCGAGATATTTCACTCAAATGAACGAACGGAAGAGAAAGGAAACTTTGTTTTTCCATAACTTTTAGTTCATCAACAATTGCCGCTCTCGACATCAGCATCTCGCTTTTACAAGTGTTTTTACAAACGGTCTATTCAGTTCCACTCAGAGCAAGGAGTAAAAATAAGGAAACTCTGGCAAATCAGTAATTAAAAAAATAAGTAAGTAAAGAAGGATCGCTATCATTTGTCAATATCAAAGAGGATGATATTTGTAGCAGTGATTAGGAGAGCCAACCATGCACTTTGTAGAATAATAACCGCCACATGAAAAACCGCAGTCAATAATACGCATACTGCGTAAAATGCGGAGAAAAAATGAAGAGAAGTGAAAATTGGGAAAAATCAGATATTGAAAATCTCCACGAAGCATAGAAACGTATGTGGTATCACGCGAGGCAACTCTGCTGATTACTGTGGGGTGTGGGTGTGGGTGTGAGGGTGTGGGTGTGGGGTGTGGGTGTGGGGTGTGGGTGTGGGGTGTGGGTGTGGGTGTGTGTCTTGCTAATATACCCCCACACCCCACCCTCAGGAAAAAGTTTTCCTATTTTCCTGTTCTCGAATGGAAGTGCTGGTTGAATTTTTATTTATTTTCCACGTAACTTTATGCAGTTGAAGCTTCATTTATATTCGAATTCGAATTAGGCATCTCATGCCTTCCCGGGTACTTTCGTTTTGTAAAGGATATAAAAAGTAGGACTCTACCTATGCCACAGAATAATATCAGATGAAAAATATTTTAATACCTCTTACTAATTCTGTCATTAGTAGGTGTAATCGTGTTGGTTGCAGCATTGCGTACNGGCAGACCAACATAAGTGTAAAATATATCTGACTTGTTCTCTCCAAAAATAACATATGCACGGCGATCATTTAACCACGATACAATTAATTTTAATAGTCCTAAAGGAATACTGAGTCTGTTGCGTTTTACAATAAGACCTTTATGTCACACTTTATCGTAGGCCTTTTGATAGTCTACATAAATTTCTAGCGTTGGAATATTTGCTGTCATATTGTTTTTGACTTCATAGCTGGTGGCAATGGTGCTGGCTCCGCATCTAATCAACTTAATCGTCCAACGACGATTATTCTTTGTCATAACAACAGCGAATTATATATTTGTGACACTTCTAATAATTGAATTCAAAAGAGGACAATGGGTGCATCGTCTGGCATCACTATAGCCGAAAGTGTCAGTGATCTAGGAGATAGTACATTATATTTACTCAATTTGCCTTATGATATATGGATAGATTTGGACGAAACTTACCTGCTTATATCAGATTCTTCTAATTGCCTTGTACAACGGTATACGCTTCGTTAAAAGAAAATTCACACATCGCTCTTATATTAATCAAATATCATACATACTTATAAATGAAAACATGACAAGATTTTTCTTTTGTGTTGTTCATACACATGCACTTCGAAGAGTATGGCTTTTAATAAACATGCACTGAATGCAAATATTCGAATTTGATTATCGACCACCTTTAGATATTCAATGCAGATGTGATGAGATTAAGACCCTCTTTGAGGCTGAGATATCTGTATTTTCTTTGTCTATAACATAGGATTAAGCCGCCATGGTTGAATGGATATGTTATTCGACACATATTTGCTATGTTCAAACCATAGTATCACCAACCATGGCATAAGCCTGAACAAGTTACTAATGGCTGTGTTTCGGATGACTCATCCGATAGCGTATTAACTATATCATTAGTCAGTATGCAAAGTCAAAACACAGCTTTAACATAGATGTCACAGCCACGCGATCCTATGTTGGCCACCAATCCATGCTCATCAACGGGGGAAGCGTTGGGCGAATTGAGGACGGATATCGTCGTCTGTAAAAGAGAAAAAGGCGATAGAACCTGGCTGCTTCTGGACCCTTTAGCGCCGGTCCCAATGGGCGATAAGACTATGGAAGATATTAATTAATAATTAATAATATACGATTGTCTCACTTTTAAAGCAAAGTCTATGGTTTTCGGAGTTGGAAGAACCTAGTTCATCTACGTTTTTAGCTTTTTTCAAACATTATTTTGAATAATCAAGATGCAGCATAAACTAAAAGTCAGACAACAGATTTTCTCTACTTCGCCCCAGTTTAAGTGCCTATCGCATTCAGAATACATAGGGCTACACTGCAGATATACAATAAAAAACAACGGAAGAGATACACAATACATGTTATAGATAAAATTGAGCTGCGCAGGTCAATACTGACAAAGAACTCTTATCAGTTATTAGAGAGATTATAATGTGCTTTATCATTTGCTTCCACAACAAATATACCGATTTGTGTGGTATAATGGATTCAAATTCAGAACGATAATAATCATAATTGCTTAGTATCTAATGATTCTATTCGTTGAATGCTCGCACAATGTGTGCAAGAATGTTGGGGATAGGAATGAGTATGGGAATACATGCTCACATCCACACTCACACCCTGGCATCGCTTTTATGCGTCCGCTTAGCAACCAAACCATAGTCAATCTCTTATTTTTTCGATTTGACGTTTGCATTTGAATTGACAATATAAAAATGCTTCAAAGTTCAATTTTCAGTAACTTCAGGTGAGTTAGTTAAAAGCCAGATTGATCTAACGTTTGATCATCCTTCAGAATTCTAATTATGAAAAAGCTGAAAAGATGTTTTCCTTGATGAGTAAGTATGAACTAAATGTTTTGAGTCAACTAGTTGGATGCTTATGCTTCATTATTGTAGAACTTAACAAATAATGATGAAAAAACTTCGTGTATCTTTTTTTCTAGACGGCATACAGCGAATATGTTTTGCATCTGACTGTACTTCTTTCTTTTCACTATCGAACTGAACATTCACGTGCACAGCGACGTTTTTTCATCGACGACTCATCTTGCTCAAATGCTTGGCACTGAAGTGGAATTGACAAAACAATTGAAAACCTATTTGGAAGAAGAAACCAAACGAATGGATCACATTAAAAAGTAATAAAGAATATTGTTTTTTCGTTACTTGATGAATTTTAATGTTCGTGAAAAAGATTTCTCAATCTTATCGAAAGTCAAGTTTCTCGAGCTAAAGGTAATGAAGAAAACTATTTTAGCAATCCGATCAATTCCTATCTGTTTATCAAACATCTTACTATCGAATGGAATCACATAAAAACAATGGTATCATCAGGTGCATTTATTGAATCAATATTTATTTCTTGATTGATCTTACTCCATGTTTATCTAGATTTGAGCAAAATCATTGATAAACAATGGTTGTTTCCATCATTGGAAGATTATATTGGTGAATGAATTATTCGATTTTATGTGCATTGAGTTCGTTTTATTTTGCATATAGGAACCGTCACCTCTTTGCTACGTCTGCAAGGCACATATCAACTGAAAACAAGTCAGCTGGCCGATGGGAAGATCGTTTCGAATTTTCGCTAGAAAAAGTTGACTAGTATGGACTCAGATACATTTCGATATTATACATGCAGATCACCTTTTAGGTCACGACTGCTATGTTATTGGACGCGCGGCTTTGGCAACAGAGGATTTCTATCATGCATTGATGTGGTTACAAGAAGCACTTGACCGTCTCGATCAAGAGAACAATACTACGTTGATAAGTAAAATCAATATTCTGAATAATCTTGTCCATGCAACGTTTCAGGTGAACGATTAAGTCATAAATTAATCATTAGTTTCGAGACGAGGCTCTGTGTTTCTTTTGTTTCAGCAAGACAATATTGAACACGCACTTGCCCTAGTCGAAGAAATTCTCTCAATTGGTAATCAACAATATGTACAATTGATTCAAGCGTTGTCGTTGTTTTTATCTCTGCTCTAGATCCAGGGCATGTCGAAGCGAAAAAAAATAAAATTTATTATGAATCTCTTATAAACAATCGCACGCTAATGGCGGAAGAACAAGAAAAAGTCGATTTTAAAACAACAGATGATACTGATTCTATTGGGAACTCACTCAAACAATCTTCAATACAATATGTTTCGATGAATAATAAGAATTTTCAAGTGAAAAATCAACGACCAGGCACCAATTTAGAGTTGAAATCCCGTCAAGCATTCGAAGAAATCTGTCGACAACAGCATGCTCAGGTAACATAAACAAACTATTGATGTAAGGCAACCTTACTATGTTTTGTTTAGCTCAGTAAAAAACGCCAGGCAACATTATTTTGTCGATATCGTCACACCAATCATCCCTACCTTATTTTGAGACCTGTGAAAGAAGAGAAAGTGCTTGATGAACCAGCCGTCTTTCTTTTTCATGATGTTGTGAGCGATTCGGATATTGAAAAAATCAAAGCTCTAGCCGTACCTCGGGTAAGAAAAAGAACGACATAAGACATAAATGTATGGAGCCCTCGGGACCCAATTATTATAACTCAGTAATAATTGGAAATAATTCGTATTTTACAGTTACAACGTGCTCTCGTACGCAATGCTGCAACCAACACGATTACACCTACTAATGACAGAATTAGTAAGAGGTATTAAAATATTTTTCATCTGATATTATTCTGTGGCATAGGTAGAGCCCTACTTTCTCTATTCTTTACAAAACGAAAGTACCCGGGAAGGCATGAGATGCCTAATTCAAATTCGAATATAAATGAAGCTTCAACTGCATAATCGAAAGTAAATAAAAATTCAACCAGCACTTCCATTCGAGAACAGGAAAATAGGAAAACATTTTTTCTTGAGGGGGATGGTGTGGGGTGTGAGGGTGGGAGTGTATTAGCAAGACACACATCCACACCCACACCCTCAAGAAGGGACACAGAAAAGAGAATTTTGACAAGTAAACAAATTCTTTTAGTCACAGTGCACGTTCTGTTGAGAAGATTGAGTCTCAGTAAAAGCAAACCTGACTATGTGTATGGGATCTTTCGTATTGAGAGTGACATGCAGATAGAGCGATCTTTTTGTCTTTGAATCTATTGGCTACGATGTAACTTGGAGCTTGGATGATTAATTAATATTTTATGCTCCTTACTATCATTGTACTCGCTATGAATTACAGTAAAAATCACATGAAAGTCATTCTGTGTGTTTCAAAGGTCAGTAGTCAGCAGAGTGTTGCCTTGCGCGATACCGCATACGTTTCTATGCTTCGTGGCAATTTTCAATATCTGATTTTTCCCAATTTTCACTTCTCTTCATTTTTTTCTCCGCACTTTACGCAGTATGCATACTATTGACTGCGGTTTTTCACGTGAGGGCTATTATTCGACAAAGTGCATCGTTGGCTCTCCTAATCACTGCTACAAATATTATCCTCTTTGATATTGACAAATGATAGCGATCCTTCTTTACTTACTTATTGTTTTGACTGCTGATTTGCCAGAGTTTCCTTTCTCTTCCGTTCGTTCATTTGAGTGAGATATCTTGACACCATTACTTGCGCGTGCAAGTTTAGTATGTATGCAAGTGTGTTAAATATTTCGTTGGAATATAGCAATTGTGTTAACTATATGATTTTGTCTAGTTGTCTAGAAAATAGGTCTACACGTATATGTATGTATACGCTCTATGGATGGTCGACATTTATTGAGCAGTATTATTTCTATTTTAGTGCTTGGCTACGTGATGAAGATTCGCCAGTAGTAGCTCGTCTCTCTCAACTGATTAGTGCTCTCACAAATTTGACCATGGAAACGGCTGAAGAAATTCAGTTATTTATTTTATTTTCTGTTGTATTATAATGTATAAAATGAATACTAGATCGGCAACTATGGAATCGGTGGCTACCAAAGTCATCATGTGGATTGTTATCATGTATGCTTTTGTGTTTCAAGCTTTTGCTAAATCGATCATTGCCAATGTAATGCATTTAGAAATGGGAATATCCTGCTTACTACCACAAGGTTGGTAAGTATATCATTGATCTAGGAGAGTTATCAAGATTCTGCTGTTATTCAGGTAATAGAATAGCTACATGGATGACTTATGTAAGTTGCATATGACTTAAGGACGCGATGCATGATATAGTCTTATTTCTTAGATGAGTGACGTGGAGTGGGGCGGAGCAACTGTCTTTCCTCTTTTCGGAGGTTATATAACGCCAAAGAAAGGAAGCACATTATTTTGGTACAATCTCCATGCGTCCGGTGAAGGTGCGATATGATTGAACTTGACTGCATTAGATTGATTAGCTGATATCTCTTTTTTAGTCGACTACAGAACACTGCATGCAGGGCAGTATTGTTTTGTTAATCACTGTCGAAATACGTAAGCTTTTCTTCTATTCTTCCAGCTTGTCCGGTCTTGATTGGTAATAAGTGGGTAGCAAATAAGTGGATTCATGAATATGGTCAAGAATTTCGACGCCGATGTTTGCTTGATCCAATGGCGTAATAATCGTGCACGAAAATAATTTCTTTCCTGTGACGAATCTTCTATCGGTCAACGTGTTCAACAAGATTCTATCGATAGTACCAATATTTTAACAGACAAAATTAAACTAGACACTTTTTTAAATAGTCTTCCTTCCATTTTTTCTTGTATCTTTCACTCGTTCCCAATCAACATTTTAGTTAGCGCTGCCTTTTTATCAATTACTGGATGTTCTAGAATAAATAAAGGAGGGGGATCGATAAGGATGAAGATCGGCCTATAGCCAAAACCTCAACTTTTTCCTGAAAAATAGTAGCATTAAGTCTCCAGGGTGTGGGTGTCTGTGTGGGGTGGTGCTGTAACTGTATTTACCGTTACGGCTCACCTTATGTACTTTATCCTCTTCGCTGTATTCTATGTTTGTGCATTGACCTCATGAACTCTCATTGTTCTATTGCGTGGCCGTTCCCTCTTTGCCTATATCCGCCCAAGTGTGATCGCTCTCGCGTATATAAGGGGATGTAACTAAAGGAAATGCACGACTAGAGATGTGCAGATGACACAATACACCATCATGCCGACGGGCATAGGCGACACTCTCTATGTTCGTCACAGGTGTGACTTAGAGTGTGGATCTGCTTTTCATCCACACCCACACCCCACAATCTCAAGATCTATGTGGCATGGATGGATGCTATGAATCAGTACCACCGTTTGCTTTGATTGGACGATTTAGTTTTGCCATAGCACCTACATTTTTAATTGCCATTACTTGCACGTGTTGCGTGGCAAAAATATCGATTTCATCGGATTGTAGAATGCCCAAGTGAGCAAAAGACTGGTTAAATGACTAGTCTTTTTTCTAGTCAAGTCGACCCGTCCCGTCTAGTCTTTGTCTCAAAAACTACTCGTCCACGACTAGACTGAGTTTTTATCCGTCATGCATACGCGTCCTAGTACTCTGATTGACGACTAGTCATAAAATCTAATAAGAGTAGTCTCGACGAGCGTCCCTGTCGCCCGTCAGGAAATGGTTTATGAATGAAAAATTAAGGGCGTCTGGGACGAGTATACAACTAGCTGGAGCCTTATATAGTGGACGAGTCTGGACTAGTCTGAATGAAAATATGTAAGGATGAAGATTAGATTCGAACATGTATACAATGTGACACTTACCCGTCGCCAGAACCATTGAGCCATATGATCTTGAAGTCATATTCTACACACTCATGATCATTCTAAGATGTTATTTAATACAATTTTTACTCCGAATTTTTTATTTTATGTATCAATAAAAATTATCTTTTACCGAAACGTGATTACTTTAGATAACATTGA